TTGCAATAAAATTGGAAGATTTCCATTAACGCACTTAAGTAATTAATTTTATTTCATGGCAAAATAAAACGACTAACTCTCCTTCGATTCCTTTAGTGGGGAGTGAAGAGAATTTACTGGAAAACAAAGAGCACATTATGGTTAGATGTTGGCGGTATGAAACAAATTCATTCTAAAAAGAAAAAAAAACTTAAATCGAGTCATTTCACGTTTGAATGAAATAGGAATAAGATACGTATATTTTATCGTTGTTTTTAGAAGGTTTATACTCAGATTTTATTATTGTTTCTTTTCATTTGTTTAAAATTTTCATACATTTTACATAAAATGCATAAATTCAGTCACCAATATATAAATTATTCAATAACATTAATGTATATATACACTAAAGTGATTAATATGTGATAAACAAAAAACTATATCATTGAAATTTATTACTTCAAAGAACTATGTTTTATAGAAATTCCCAAATCTAATTGTTCTGTATTATTTAAATATTTACAATTTTAATTGCAAACTACCGTTAAATGTTTTATAAATTATTCATAACAATGTGACGCTTCAAATGAATTATTTACTTAAAAGTGAATTTTAAATAACAATAAAAAATGATTTAAAATATATATAATTTTTATGAGAGAGGCGTTTTTCTTCTTTTCTAATTAATTATTTAGGAAAGTTATACGATCTAATTTCTTTCCATAAATTATAATTTATATTAAACTAATTTATTGCAGCATCGAAACTGTAATTTTCCTAGAATTTGTTATAATAGCAAAACTATATTAATTAATAATTACAACATATAATTTATATAACTATTAATAACTAAAATTTTAGAATTATAGAATGCTTTGCCTAATAGTTCTCTTATTCGAGATAATGCCCAGAGATTTATTACTTAATGCATTTTCTAATATATTAGCGAACACATTTTTTCGTATTTATTATAGCATTGACAAGACAATAAAAGCTTTAGTATATAATTATTACTATGTATTTTTTATGATTAATAATTGATGCTTTTTCAAACGAGGAAGGGAAAAAGCTAAAAANGTGGTTATTTTTAGCAACAATTTATATTAAATTATATTTTATCGATTCTTTAGTGCCTCATTACTTATTTAAAACAAATATTATTCGTTTAAATTTTGCGAATATAAATGAATATAATTTATTTATTAATTAAAAAATAAAATATTATTTTTTTATAATTATTTTTTCAAAATATTGAAAATTTAGTTGAACTTTAAGCTAGAATATTTAGTTTCTTTTAACTTTTTTTCTTTAAATAAAAAATAGAATAAAATATTTAATAAACAGGAGTGATCGTGTTTTACTTACAAGTTAGTTTCCTTTTTAGAATTTTAAATATAATCTCGGGATGGAATTTAACATCTAAATGATTTGGATGTTAAGGCGAATGGAAAATTATGTTTTCTCTTTCGTTCCAACAGTTGTTAATAACTTGCAGATGCAAAATGTCTTTCACAAAATATCGATCACCCTATTTAATGCATATATTTAAGTCATATTCTATCAAATGAAACTGCGTACAAGAAAAATATTTGAAACCAAGCTTTGTAAGTTACTTATTTACTTTTACATTCCTTAAAATATCTAATAAAGAAGCGCCTAACAACTTTTCAATTGAGAATTTTTTCATTTTTTTTTCTTTTTTGATTTTCAATCCATTTTAAATGAATAGATTAAATAACGAATGATAAAAATTAACATTATTGGAAAAAAAATTAATTTTACCATTTTTCTTTTGCAATAAAATTGGAAGATTTCCATTAACGCACTTAAGTAATTAATTTTATTTCATGGCAAAATAAAACGACTAACTCTCCTTCGATTCCTTTAGTGGGGAGTGAAGAGAATTTACTGGAAAACAAAGAGCACATTATGGTTAGATGTTGGCGGTATGAAACAAATTCATTCTAAAAAGAAAAAAAAACTTAAATCGAGTCATTTCACGTTTGAATGAAATAGGAATAAGATACGTATATTTTATCGTTGTTTTTAGAAGGTTTATACTCAGATTTTATTATTGTTTCTTTTCATTTGTTTAAAATTTTCATACATTTTACATAAAATGCATAAATTCAGTCACCAATATATAAATTATTCAATAACATTAATGTATATATACACTAAAGTGATTAATATGTGATAAACAAAAAACTATATCATTGAAATTTATTACTTCAAAGAACTATGTTTTATAGAAATTCCCAAATCTAATTGTTCTGTATTATTTAAATATTTACAATTTTAATTGCAAACTACCGTTAAATGTTTTATAAATTATTCATAACAATGTGACGCTTCAAATGAATTATTTACTTAAAAGTGAATTTTAAATAACAATAAAAAATGATTTAAAATATATATAATTTTTATGAGAGAGGCGTTTTTCTTCTTTTCTAATTAATTATTTAGGAAAGTTATACGATCTAATTTCTTTCCATAAATTATAATTTATATTAAACTAATTTATTGCAGCATCGAAACTGTAATTTTCCTAGAATTTGTTATAATAGCAAAACTATATTAATTAATAATTACAACATATAATTTATATAACTATTAATAACTAAAATTTTAGAATTATAGAATGCTTTGCCTAATAGTTCTCTTATTCGAGATAATGCCCAGAGATTTATTACTTAATGCATTTTCTAATATATTAGCGAACACATTTTTTCGTATTTATTATAGCATTGACAAGACAATAAAAGCTTTAGTATATAATTATTACTATGTATTTTTTATGATTAATAATTGATGCTTTTTCAAACGAGGAAGGGAAAAAGCTAAAAAAAAATATAACTTTTATTTAAAGAAACAGAAATGTAATATCTTAAATATTTGTATTAAAGGCACATCAAAGCCCTTAATTAAAGCTCGCTGCTTATTAAGGTCAGAATAATCGATGTCCATTCTAATTGCTGGTCTTGTAAACATTGATCTCAAGACAATGTTTTGAATGGTTGGTACTCTTCTTCTTGGCCAATGTGTGTCAAAGGATGAGAAATTTATTATTACATAGCTAACGATCGAAAGGGTAATTGATAATGATAATTACCCTTGACATGGAGGATATGTAAAGTATGTCTACAATTAGCCATAAAATCAGGAAGATTTCAATTGGCGAATTACGTGAGAATTGCATGTACATTAAATTTTTAACTGAAAATAAGAGTAAGAAAACGTATTTTAAATGGAAGAAAATATTCATTGAGTAATTAATCATCTGAAAAAAGTCAGAGAATATATTTTTAATGTTGCTTAAAGTTAGTTCTTAGTAAGGAAGTTAAAGGCTAAGTTATGTTTTCGTTAAAAACTTGAATCGAAGTCTTAAAAATAATAATTTAAGAGCATAATTTTAAAATATAAATTACCTATCTCCTTTTACTTCGGTGCATTATATTGTAAGTTATATCACATAAATAGCTGTACGAGTGATCAGTTTTGATATAGTTATATCAGATGTCGGTTGTGAATTACGATCCGGGTTAGAAGAATCTGATCAGTGATGAGGGAATATTATCATAAAGAATTAAAGAGTCTATCTCATCGAACTAAGTACAACAAACTTCATCTAATTTAATGGAAAGGACGTACTGGTCTCAGTATGTCCTCGTTAATAGGAGATAAATATATCATAAAACTAGAATGAAATGACTTGTAAAAAGTACGAAAAGTCGAGCTGAATATAGGATGGTCGTAAAAAAAGTTTATCTATATTGAAGAAATTACAAAACTTTATTTTTTTTCCTTAAGAACTGTTATAAACTTTCTACTATCTTAGAATTTGTTATTTCTCAATAAAAAGTAAATTGAGTCATAACGTAAAAAATATTTTCTCAAATAATAACGTTTAATAATTTACTACAACTAAAAATTAACAAAACAAGTTTAATACGTTTAGATTTAAATTATTTCATTAATAATTTTGTTATCATGCATAAAAAAACTTATGAAAAATTGCTTTCATCACATAACATCATGAGGAGGTATTTGCTAGAAATTCGATATTTTATAAGGAATGCATTTGTGAATGTGTTAGTGAATAAAAAACTATGTTACAGCAACAGTTGGCAATACTACAATGTAATAGTAAAATCCATAAAAGAGATGACAGATTTTGTCACTATCGTCCTCAGCTAACTCTCACCCTCTTTACAGCCTTACTGAATATATTTAAATGCTAATACATCTTTTATTCATAGAAATTCGGTGTAGAAATGGAATGGCTACGAAGAATTTCATGTTTGGATAAAAACTAGGCGTTAAATTAGATCTCTGAATATTCTAGACAGGTTTTAAAAAATTCGTGTTGCAATATATTTTAAAGGTTTACTACGATTTACTCTAAATAAAATGACGAAATCTGACTAAACAATGTAGAGAATTAGTTATGTGGAATGTTTTATTTACATTCTACAACTTTATAACCATTTCGGTTAAACTCGCACGTTTATGAAAGAATTAACAAAAGTTAAATGGTTATTTACAAAAAAAAACCATAACTCGACTTTAAAAATTATTAAATATTTGATGGAAATAAATTATAAAGAAAACAAAATCACTTAACATTACTAAAAACTCAAAACGAAAGTATTTTTAACGAGAATATAAAGACATTTTCAATACATTTAATTTTAAAGTATACTTTTGAAGACTGTGGAAACGTAGTACTTAAACTTATTATACGTTGTTCATTATTTCTTTCCATTTTTATCGCATCAAGCATGCAGTGCACATATCAATTGATTTATTAGCTGAGTTATACTGCCGATTATCATCGTATTAAAATTTATCATTTGTCACGTAACCGTGTTCCAGATTACAGTTATTGGATAACGAACTAAACTCACGAAAGGAAAGAATCTACAGAATGACTTATGATCAGAACATTGAAAAATATATATATAAAAAGATAAAATAATATTTATTATAAGATAATTCTATAAATATATATCTTAAATTACCTCTGACGGTGTATTTGATTTCAGGAGAAGTGAGAGTAAGTTCCGTTAGTGAAGTTTGAGTAACTTGGCATTCCCATCTTCCGTCATCGTCTTCTATTCTGCTGTTCCTGATCCTGATGCTGCAATCACCATCTGACGGTTCTCTTTCAAAGTCATATTTATTTTGAATTTTTCCAACTACCCTACCGTCTTTCAACCACGCACATTCTCCCTTTCTGTTTCTCACTTTACAAATTAGAACTGTTGTGTCTCCGGGGTTTACTTCTGTGTCTACTGGAGTAGTGTCGAATTCTTGTAACGGCGATGTACCTGGAAAGAAGATGGATTCGATTACAGAGGGATAGAAGAAAAGCGATTTGCCGTTGGTCTAAGCTTATTGCCGAAGCACTTAACGAAATGTTGGTGAAATCTAACTTCCTTTGCTAGAGTAACAAAGGACAAATGAAAGCACTTTGGTAGACCACGATTGATAGAATTTAATGTTCCTAAAGAAAGACAAATCTAATAGCTAAAAAAGATGGAATTCTATTTAATATCGGGTTATCGCGGTAAACTGTTACTTACATTTTTCAATTTACTTCAACCTTTTTCTGAGATAAAAGTCTAACTTTATTTATTTTTTTAATATAATTTTTCAAATTTATTAATACTTTTTCTTTACTTACAACTTTTCAATATTCTACAAATTCGAATTTAAAAAATAAATTTTATTTTGTAACATATTGAATTTACATGTTGAAAATATCAAGAAGGTAATTTTTAAGGTATAAAGGTATAAATTTACTTTTGAAACTGATATAAATATTTTATATACATTTGTTTAATTATGTAAATATTTTTTTATTTATTGTTTAAATTAAAGTGTATTTTTAAATTTTATCACATTGTATTTCCTTAACTTTCTATTTTCTACATTTTTTTCTTGTATAATCTTGTATAATCTTGTTATTATTTTACTTTTTTACATAAAAAACAAGACTTAAATTTTTCAATTTACAACTTCGCAATATTTACTAAAATTTTTCAATTTACTCGGTATGCAACGCTCTTGTGTTTTATTGAAAACTGAAAATTGAAACTGAGATTTTAATAAAAAAAATGTAAATTTTTCAATAAAATTCAGAGACTAATTTTTAAAATATTGATAGCATTGACAATACGATTCTCGATAGTAAAATTTTCCACTTTATCATGCATGTGCAGGTTACCGGAATATTCTCTAGAGAAGACAAGAATAAATTAGTTTGGTATAACTATTAGTAATAAACTATAATAGTACTCCAAACAACGTTCTATCAAGTAGAAATGATCATTTCTCTTGTCAATCAGCACAAGCCCCAGAGATTTAAAACTTAGTAATTACCGTACAGCATACTTGTCATTTAAGTTTACTCAGACATAATATTTCCTACTGATTAAAACCCCTTTGGATATAATAAATTAATGTCAATTACTGTAATTAGCAGCATTGTAACTGACAGTAACATGCCAGCAACAGTCACAAAGCCATTGTCATTGTTGAGCGTGGCTTGCACTGACAACCAATGTTGGAGCAACTGTCGATTATTCAGAATACATGAGGATATTACCTCATTTGCATCTCGCATTGCCTATATACCATTAATAAATGATTTACTAAAAAAAGCATGGTTCTTGCTCAACGCGACTACTACAAATTTTTTTAATCGATGTTTACAACAATGCCCGAAAAAATGTATTTTTAACTAGAAAATAATATGAAAGTTCTTAAAAGTGTGTATATCAATAGTTTATACATTTATAGATTCCCCCCCCCCCTCATTTTTAATATTCAAACCTTGCGTAATAAAAAGAAAACAGTAATTTTGATTTTTCCAGAGTTTTCTAAATGACATAAAACAAATGCCGTAATGATAAATGACAAGAAAGTCAAAATACTATACGAGATACATAATAGTAAGTTGGAAAGATCAGCAGTTTATTTTTATTCTTTCTGATACAGCAGATGTTTATTTTCTTAGAACAATTTACTAATACACTACCACTGCTTTACAATAATGATAAAAATAAGAAAACAAACAGAAATAAAAAGTTATTAAAAATGCATTTACTTTTTGCAATATCTTAATTGCACTAAAATGATAAAACAAAGTAATAAAAACTTAATTTTTCATTTAAAAGTTAACATTGTAAAAATACTTTTTTACACTTTTAAAATACGTGAAATATTTAATTTAAATTATAAGTTACTCCTATATTTTTATACGTAATTATATTTATACAACCTTAATAAATTATGTAATGTACTCTTAGAATCTAAATACGTACGTCGTAATTCTCTCATAAATTATTTACTATGTTTTTCCTGCAATAAAATATTCCGGTTTGGAGTAAAACTCATATACAATAGGGGAAAAAACAGAGAAAATTAGACTAAACAATTTCTATGAACATAGAATATTCTATTCTCATAAAAATCAATTGTTTATAAAATATATTTTGGAATGTAGGTCTATATTCGAATAACAATTTGGCAGGTATGCATCTACTTCTACTGTACATATTTCTTCTTTATTCAAATGTAAGATATAACAATCTTATATCTAAAATATGAAAATACAAAAATTAATTTTAATAATTTTCAGTTATAGCAAAGACTCCCAAGAAAATTTGCTTTATTTTACTATTTCTTAACATTATTTGATTTATTTACAATCCACTTTATATACAGTGTGATTCAAAATTTAGTTAATAGATATATATTTTTAAAAATAATTAACACCGGTTTGAACAGCTGCATTCTTCGTGTCATTCGCTTCCAAATAATAATATATTGCGGTTAATCAACTTTTGGACCACCCTGACAAGATTAAAATATTATTTATTTATTAATTACATCTATATAAATTATTTATTATAAATCGTTAACTTAAATAATTGTTTATATATTTAGTGATGATTATATATTTTATATTAAAATTATGTATTAAACGATCTAGCAAATAGCAATCTATAAAAGAACATGCAACTAAATTCTTTTGAAATTATCCGAAGAGCAATTTACATATTAAAAAATCTATACTCTAGACACACAGAACAATTTTCGTTATAAATTAATCCATTATCATTAATAGAACTTATCATTAAATAAATGAAATCATCTCAATAAAAAGCTTATTACTTGCCATATATCTATATTTTAATTATTCAGGAAATTAATGAATTTTAATTAAAACTAAATATAAAAATAAAATTCTCAAATATAATTATTCAAACTGCTTCGTATAAAAGAAAGGATGATGCTGTAAAGAATAATAATTTATGAACTTGATAATTTATATCAAAACATAATTAAGATGACTTTAATTTTTTTTATGTATATTTTTCATCGATCGGCGATTCAAATCAAATTCCAACCGAAGTTTTTCTTCATTATCTATAAATTTGTTAATTAAAACAGGAGAGACATTTGTTAGATGGCTACTTAAAAAACCTTTTTTTTTATTTATATTTAAACGTTTCCATCAATTTAATAAGCTTTTATTAAAAAAAATTTATTAAACCTCTGGAGAAATTTTAATTTACGGTCTCTTAATATAAATATATTTCCACGTTTACAGCAATGATTCAAACCGGATTATAATAGGACTTTTTTAGTCGTTTTAAAGAACTAATAGGTTGTGAATTCTATTACAACATTAGCTAATTCGATAAACTGCTAATTTCTAAGATCCTTACATCGCTTGACTAGTAACACCATTCAATCAAGAAAATGTAGAGTTAATGGAATGACAGAACTTCTAGTAGACAAACACTTTTCGTTGCAATCGTCTGTTTTTCTTGGCTCCTCATCGAATTTCTCGAGATGTTGGATTGACTGACTTATAACAGACGATGAACTTCAGAGTCTATAAACACATCGCGACATTTCCAATATTAACGTTGTTGTTCTTTGTGGACCGATGAATGCATTAATGAAGATATCCATTCTAAGTGATGATTCTGCAAACATTCAAAAATAATTCACTATTATAAACCGCGTTTGAAATTTACGAAAGATCAAAGCATCTTCATTTTGCATCTATGAATAAAAAGAAGAGAATTAATATATTTATACACGCTTTAAGAAACGTAAAAATTGAATGCACTATATCGCTTACGACAAGCTTTTATCGATTTTTCGTCTTCAGATTTTGCATTATTTAGTTATAAATAGATTTTCGATAAACAACTGATTAACTATAGTAAAATAACATCTGCTATATAATGTTTTTAACTGAAAAATTTTTGGTTTGAACAAAACTTTTTAACTTCTATCGAATGAAATGTCCCTTTTGATTTTATGTAATCAAGATCTAGTGTAATTTAACAATTAGAGTTTGATAAATTATAATATTATCAACATTAACATAACTAATCATCTATGCTATTCTATAATAAGTTTATAGAGTAAATTTTTTTAATTTAAAGTTTTAAAAATGTATATTTAAGCATTTTATTGTTCTCAATAAATTAAGACTAGCAATTTATAAATTAGCAATAAACTTTCGAAGGAAAAATAAAAAGATGTCAGCATCGAATTGTTATGTAAACTTATAAATACTAATCCTATTTAAAAGAATTAAGAGAATTAAAATTAACAAGCTTCAAACTGGATTATGAATACTAACAGAAAAATCCCATATTTAACGGTTAAAAAAGATTAAAATATTCAAATATTGTTTGAATTTCTATTATAAAACGATTTTATGAAAAAATCTTTTATTCGAGGATTATATTGCTGTTATTCTTGATAATTAACTTTCTAACTTGCCCGAAACTTATTGTGATACGAAAGATTTTTGAAGTGAATCATATTTACATACGTATCCATTATTCTCGAATTTTGGCCACAGGCGTTATTCAACTATTCTACAGATTTTCCACTTTCCCATTTTCTTTCTTTCTTTTTCTTTATCAAAACTCTAGAGATTTTTTCCATCTGTAGACCCTATTAAGTGTCTTATGAATGTGAAATATTCTAAAGAATTTTTTACAAATTTTCACTACAGATATCTCATTTAACAATGAACTTCCAAAACAATTTTTTTTCGTGTACAGTTTTATTAATTATTATAATATATTTTTTATTAGTTGACAAATAAGATGTTACATATATTTTAAAATGTATATATATATATATATTATTTATGTATCGTTCTAATTTTTAAAAATATGGAAAAGGAAAATATTACAAAAAGATCGTTCATCGTGTGAAATGGCAGAAAAGTAAGTTGTCTGCCGGTCACTGTTGTGATTTACGGTTATATCGCCCAACATAAATTTTTGGA